GATGCTGCTTGGCCTGCTGTGTTCATCCAGCTCTACACCTTGTTATCCAAGAATGGTTTTGATTGAATAAAGAAGAAAAAATTGTTTCCACTGGCAGGAGTGGCAGTAATCAAAGGACGCAGACTAAGTTAAACTGAATGAAGAACCAAAGGAAAGACTTTTTTTTTTACCCAACAAGTTTTGTGGTCTGGAATGTGCGAGGCGATAGCAGAACACTTTGAAAGGGGAATTGGATCTTTAATTGAAAAGGAAAAACTTGTGTGGTGGTAGGGAATGTGCTGTGTGATAGCAGAAATGTTTGGATGGGGAATTGGATATGTAATTGAGAAGGAAAAATAATATGTAGTGGTAGGGAAAGTGTAGGGAATTGGGATTATCTGGATGGCTCTTTGAAAGAGCCAGAACATGCTGAATGGGCCCAATTGCCTCTTTCTATGCAATCAGATTCTATAGAATGGATGACCTGATGAACTTGCAGTGCTAAGCTGCATCCAACACTCTTGGTTGAAAACATTAGACTGAAATGAGTAGCAATACACAGCTGTTGTGACCTTTACTGAACCAAAGTGAACTGTGGGAATACTTAGAGAGTGCCAGGAAAAAAAGAGGGGAAATAGTCTGCAAAATAGACCATGGAGAGTTCAATCCAGTTGTTGCAAATAGTTTCCAACAGACAAAGAAAGAATTGAAAGAAGGATGGAAATGAAAAGAAAGACTTGCATTTCAAAAGGAACTTCTATAATTTCAGGACATCCCCAAAGCATTGACAGTCAAGAACATTTCAAGTGTGGCTATTGTTGCAATTGAGGAAATAACAGCAACTAATTTACATACAACATTTCTACATACACACAAACATACCTGTTTAGATAAAGAGCAAGGTGTAGAGCTGAATGAACACAGCAGGCCAAGCAGCATCAGAGGAGCAGGAAAGCTGACGTTTCAGGTCTGGACCCTTCTTCAGAAAAATGCATTCAGAAAAAAACACAATTTACTGAAGAAGGATCCAGACCCAAAACGTCAGCTTTCCTGCTCTTCTGATGCTGCTTGGCCTGCTGTGTTCATCCAGCTCTACACCTTGTTATCTCAGATTCTCCAGCATCGGCAGTTCCTACTATCCCCAAAACCATTCTTGGATCTCATTTGCTGCTTCTCTGACCTTAGGGGAACTGTCCTGCTCTCTCTAGTCCTTCCACATAGTTATATTGACTATCCTCAATCTTCCTACCAGAATGTATGGCTCAACACTTCTCTGTGTTCAACATCATTACCATGTTTCTGCCCATTTTGCCAGTCTACATCTTCTTGAAGTCAGCCACAATCTTCCTCACTGTTTACTACATTCCCTTATTTTGTGTCAAAAAGTGCTTAATTCAGGCTCCGTCTACCAAAGTTCAGGGAATTAATAGATATCACAAGGTCCAATGGTGCTAATACTGGCCCTAGTACCGCAGTCTATCTCCCTCCAGTCTGAAAAACAACTGTTCTTCACTACCCATAGTTTTCTGTCCTTTAATTTATTGTGTCTCCACATAGCCACTTGTCACTTTAGTGTGACAGGGCCGGATTTTACTGGAGGCTTGGAGAAGAGGGGAAAGGATTTGGTCACCCCTTTAGAAGTAAATTTGGTTCCAACAGCCTGACTTTTTAAAAGCCTGTGGTCCAGTAACAACACACAGGAGATCCATTCTTCAGTGAACAGGAAGTCCTGTCCTTCAGTGCTGCCAGTTGATCTAATTGGCTGCCAGAACTCAGTACTGGGCACGGCTGGACCAGCAAGTACTATCGCAAAGAACAGCAGGGACAATGGAGTTAGGTAGCTCAGAAGTTTTTTGCATGGATAGGGAGGAGGGAGGGGTTGACGGTAGTGATGAGGTGTGTTGTGGTACTTCTTGCTTGACGCCCTTCCCATTTCTGCATGTTCAAAAATGTACTTTTAAATATGACCTTTGCAATCTAGCCCAGCTGCAACTGCCCAGCATTTAACAGAGTTTAGGCATTTTGAGATCCTTACCTGGGCAGTTAATGTTCTTAATAAGCTTAAAGGCAGGCAGCCTTGTGGACAACTTACTTAATCCCCATATTATGGGAAAGGGGTCAGGAAAGACCATCTGACACACCTACTCTGCCAAAAATATGGCTGCATATGGCTGTTAAATCCAATTCAATATTTTAATTTGGCTATTAGGCCTGTTATGTAGCACTTTATCAAGTGTCTCCTGAAAGCCAATATATATAACACCAACTCTCTCTCTGTTACCTTAACAAAATAAAAACTCAAATCAAGTCAGCAAATCACTTTTGACAAATCTACTCTGGCTTTCATTTATTAACTCATCTTTTCCCAGTGATGAATAATTCTATGTAGATTTAAATAGGTTAATTTTAACACACTCAAAACGCACTAGCCTGGACTGTTAAAATTAGGCCCATTATCTAGAGAAGCCTCTGCACTGTTGGCATTATTCAAACTGACCTGAAATTGCTGTGTTTAACTCGCTCCCTCTTTTGGAAAAGGTTTGTAAACTGACAATCCTCCACTGCTCTGGTACCAGGTCCATATCTAGCCAGAATGGGAAGATTGTGGTCACAGCTTCTGCGACTTCTACCTTTACATCTCAGCAATCTAGAATGTATCCTATTCAACTGGGTGACTTAGTTATATTTTTCACAATTCAACTCTGGTGATGTTAGGGTACTACTCAATTGCAGGTGGGACATAAACCCAAAGTTTCTGGCAGAGAGGTAGTGACACTACCTCTGCACAACAACAGCCTGGCTTGAATTTTTTACTTCCACGCCGCATCTATTATCAGTGAAATTTCTCTATGGCTTTTCCCTTTGCCCTGATATTGGCAGTGTTCTTTTCCTCAGACAAGACAAATGCAAACATATTCCTTCAGTTCCTTGTCGTGCCTTCTCTCCTCATACCCTATTGCATTATGCCAAGAATCAAACATGCATCTCTATTTTATCACAATGCAGTCGTGCACGACTGGTCCTCAGTTTCACTCCTGACTCAACGACCCGTCTCGCTTTGGAATGTATCACTGGCTCCCAAATAATTTGGCAGCAAACAACAGCAACATGAAAGTGGGCCTGACAGATAGAATCTGATGTCTTTTAACAAGCAAAAGTTGGCAGCACTCTGAAAGCACTAATAAACGTTTTTTGAGTGTTTAATAAACGAGGCTTTGTCATCTTATGTCGGTGAGAGCAGAAAGAAATTGCTTTCGAAATCAGCATTCCCAAGAACACTCCAAACTTTGACTCCCACTTCCCTTTCCCAGCCCTCGCGCTTTCTTTCTCCCTTGACAATGACAAAACTGTTCTCGGCTCGAAAGGGAATCCACTGTCGCCTTTTATCCACCAACTATAATGGTCAGCTGCAAAAACGATGCCTCTATGCAAATAATCAGTGGAGTTCCTAAGGGGAGGGGCTCATGACGACAGATCAGCAAAAAGGCAACTTTTGTCACTCTTTGAATGTGCAGTAACCACAGAAAGACAGTGGGGTGCTATGTATCCTTCACTCTGTTAACAGTGTTTTTATTTTAACAACGCCGAGCTGCTTCTATTTGGGTAGGTGTATCCCGCCAATCTGGAAATCATTTACTATTTTTTCCTTGCACTCTCTCCGCCCCGTGGGATATCTCCGCTGCTAAAATCTGACAGGAACAAAGCAGCTCGCCTCTCTCCCTCTCTCGTCCCAGCCTATCTCTTTGCAGGACACCAAGCTGCTGAACTGCTGAATGACACTGAGTTTAAGGAAAGTTTGAATTACAACAGTGGATGACAACTTTGGATCTTAACCATACGCCATGACGCCTCTCATATTTTTAATTCTACACGGTAAATGCCCACTAAAGTATTTCTACATTAACATACAGTCCATAAAGAGATTGCATTCTGCACCTGTAAAAAGTAAACAGTTTGGAATCTGCAAGGTGAGGCTCGTTTTTGAAAAAATAAGCAAGCATTTTGAATTTGTTGCATTTTTAACTTTGTTTATTTTTCTTCCCTTGTATTTTATACATGTATATATTTGCGTGTGTGTTTGTGTGTGGTCTATGAAGTCGTACAGTTTGGCAGTGCCGATATTTTGGGAGGTAACGGTTCGTGCGATTTTGAGGACGGCACGTGTGGCTACGAGTCAGATCCCAATAATGATCCGTGGATCGTGAATTTACAAGGTAGGCAAATAATCCGCTGATACAATACCGCCGGTCGATTATATTCGAGAGCAAATTCTGCAACAGATGCTCAGCTAAGCAACTGGAAAAGAGCTGCAGCAACACACAAGGAGTGAAACAATTATTAGGTGGGATGTTACACAATCCAGCGTTCTCTCTCTCAACCTCCTTAAACAGCAGCAGTTCAGGCACAACATTTGAAATGCTTGCAGTTTTGCAACTCATTAACGGTTCAGGTTCTTGTGCACTTTCCGAAGCGCCCTCTGGCAGATGCAATGCTGTTTTGTGCGTGAGTGCTGGAGCAGGCTGTTCTTGGACACCGAATAATATCGATTGAACACACCAACAGCCACCGCTATGACCTGTGATGGAGACAGGGACGGGTCAGATTTAAAAAAAGGCGCATTAGATCTTACAGGGACAAATGGCTTATCATGCTCAGGTTGTCTCTTGCGTGTATTTTAAATTTAGATATGAACAAGGAATCACACTTAGCTTTGAACTCGTTACGATGGGTTTCTGCATTTGTGGAGCACAGATGGGCTGTGAGATATGGGAGCATTTTCCTATCGCCAAGTTTACAGCAGTGAAGTGCTGGCTGATGCTCGGTATATATCTTACAGCTCAGGTTCTAGTTTGATGCACAAGTGCAATTCCAATCTCCAGATCTTCCAATCATTGCCACAAACCACTTTATTTCGCATTAGGTGCTGCATCCTCCAGGCATGTATGCTTCCCCAGATGAGGTCTGCAATACAGGCTTTCCTGCTCCTCTGATGCTGCTTGACCTGCTGTGTTCATCCAGCTCTACACCTTGTTAACACAAATAAATCATGCTAACTCTCCCAACACAAATGTGGAATGTTGTGTTGGTCAGAATCATAGATGACACAGCAGAAAAGGAAGCCATCAGTCCATAGAACCTGTACTTACTCCCTGAAAGAGCTATCAATTAGACTCAATCCCCTGCTCTTTTCCCATATCCCTGCTTTATTTTCCTTTTTCAAGCATATATCAAATTCAATTTTGAAAAGTTAGTATTGCATCTCCTTTGGCAGTGCATTCCAGATCGTAATTCATTGCATTATACAAACTCTTTCTATTCTATTTTGTCCTTTACTAATGCCTTTGCCTTAAGTCCTTTGGTTAATGATCCTTCTGGTGCTGTTTTTCTAGTTTATTGTATCAAAACTCAATAAAGCTGTGTACATCCATGAAATGTCCACTTAATCTTCTCTTCTGGAAGGAGCTAGTCACTATTGAACCTTAAACATCTCAAGTGAAACATAAGAATTCAGTGAGTTAAAACTGCCTGATCACAGGGTGGCGTGACTTTTGGGAAATATTCCTGGAACATGCAGATAACATTTCTAATAATTATTTTATTACATTTGGAAGTCTGTGCTTTTGTAAGTTGTCATAAGTGATAAATAAGCACCACATGCTGGAGTGCACAATGGTTTGAAACACTGGTGGACTGAACCATCTGTCCACAACTCTAGTGAATGGGATGACATTCAATTAGATATCATATGCAGAGCAGTTTGTTGCCAAAGTAAAATCAAGGTGGAACAGAATAGTGCATATTTAGGGAGAGAAAGTCCTGTGTTAAAATAGTACCTTCCATAAACCCAGGACATTCCAGGGTGCTTTCCAGTCAAAAGTAGTTTTTGTTGAAGGGTAGTCGCTGTTATAATGTAGGAAGTGCAGCAGCCACTTCAGGTATGAAAACCTCTCACAATGAACTTTGAGGTAAATTAACTATTTTTCTTTTAAAAAAAACTGAAAGAAAGATGCTGTAAATCAGAAACATAAAACAAGTTGCTGGAAAAGCTCAGTAGGTCTGGCAGCATTTGTGAAGAGAAGTTAGAGTTAACGTTTTGGGTCTGGTGACCCTTCCTCAGAATTGTTTCTGTTTCTACTGTTAGTTTGGGATAAATAATGATCTGGCCTGAAGAGTGGCCAGACTGACATGTTTACTTTGTATCAGACAGTTTAGCAATTGTATAACAAGCAAAGCCTCTCATAATTAATAACATTTGATGATTAACCTTTTTGAGAAACTGACATAAAATGAACCATCCAACTATACATACCACATACTCTAAGATGCTCCCATGAGTAAACCAGTCAGTTAAACAGATGTGAATCCCAACCTGGAAAATGGGGAATTTAACAATTCTATTAATTCAATCGAATTTGGATTAAATAGTATCAGTACTGGTAATAAAACTGAACTGTTTCACTGATTTCCATGAGGGGAAGAAACCTACTGTTCTTACTTGGTCTCACCTTTGTGATTCTAGATCCACAGCAAAATGGGTGGCTCTTAACTGCCCACTGAAACAGCCTAGCATACCACTTGGTCGTTTTCAAGGAAGTGGCTCACCACCAATCTCTCAAGGGCAAGTGGGATATGTATTAAATGCTGGCTGGTCTTGCCAAAGATGTCCACATCCTATGAATTTTTGAAAATAGAGCAGGGACAAATGTGGTAATATATATATATAAATAGGATATATAAAACATTACATTGGATAGAAGCTCTTTGTAAATTCTTTCTATTTATTCATTCATGGGATGTGGGTGTCTTTGGCTAGCCTAGCACTGGCTAGAGCGGCTATAGACCCTCAGTGCTGTTGGGAAGGAAATTCCAGGATTTCGATCCAGAAACAGTGAGGAACGGCAATGTATTTCCAAGTCAGGACAATGCATAATTTGGAGCAGGTGAAACTTGAACCCAGGCCTCCTGGTTCACAGTTAGTGACACTATCAGTGCACTACAAGAGTTACTAGGCTGATAACAGACAGATGGATAGCATCATGTATCTTAATTACATCCAGCCATTTTAGTTCTGTAATCCTTAATATCCTTATTTAAGTAAAATTCTGTCAATCTGTTTTTCAATTGAACTACAGTTGCAGTAGGGTTAGGAGTGGGTGGAAGTTCCACATTTCCATTACCTTGTGTGAGGAAGTTATTACCGATATCACCTGTGAATGATGTGATAACGATGCCTTGTTTCGGTCTCTTCCCCCAGTCCCCTAACAACAACAACTGGAAATACTTATTGTCCTATCTAAATAACCACAATTAATCTTTCATACTGACAGGAATACACCCTAGTAAGGCCCTTGTGGTATAGTGATTCTGTTCCTATCTCACATCGAGAGGCCTGGGTTCAAGTCCCACCTACTCTAGAGGATGTGTCATTATATCTCTAGACAGTTTGTTTAGGAAAAACATCCATGCCAAGTTTAGGCAGCTGTGCTCATATTTTAACTGCTCTAGCAATGATACTGTTCTGGTGAATCTGTGCTTCACTTTCACCATGGACAATATATCTTCCCCTAGCCATGATTGCCAGGACTGAACACAATACTTGAAATATTCCGAGCTCTGTATTGCTGTAACATAATTCTCACCACTCTTGGATTGCAGCCCTGTTGAGATGATGATCATTAACACCTTTTCATTGTTTTTGTACTTATCCATTAATTTTTGGTGATTTCTGTATTTAGATTCCCAAATCTCTCTGAGTCTTCACAGTTTATAACTCCTCACCATTTAGAATTTCCTCTTAATCATTCTTAGGAGTATTTTCATGAACTATAAATTGTTGTAAGCATTTGAAATTTGGCATTGTTTGTCTCGCTGAGTGTAAGACCAACAGGTTCGGGAACATAATTCTCTTTGCAGTAATAATTAAGTTCTGTGCTACTAAGCAAGTGTTAGAGATTCTTCATTTCATCTGTTAAAAGTTTGAAGTGAGATTTACCAAGAAACATGTTCATAGAAATTTGGATTTTGATGACCAGTTTTGACATGAGATGATGAGTTGTGCTAGTTTGTGGAAGGAAACTGCCTAGATTTCTCAGCCTCTAAGCCATGCTTTCATTACATCCAGAATTCTAATCCAATATTCTCTGACCAAACTTCCCATCTTCCATAAATTACAATTCATCCTAACCTGCACTAAATCCTGTTCGCCTATCAACATCGACTGTTGCCTTAGCAATACTTCAAATTTAAACTTCTCTCACTTGTTTTCAAATCTGCCAATGGACCCTACCCACGTTTCACTCCAGCCTGACCCACTCACTCACCCAGCTATCTTTGCAACCTTGTATTCCCTTATAACTCTGATAATTCTGCACTCTTTCAGTGCCCCCCTCTTCCTCCTCCCTGGTTTTAATCATTCTGCCCTTGTTCTCTGGGCTTTAAGCTCTAAAATTTTCTCCCTACACCTTTGCACACCTTCGTTGCCTCCATAAGACACTCATTAAATGTTACTTCTTTAATCAAGTTTTTGGTTACCTGGCCTAATATCTCCTCAGTGTCAAATTATGTCTGTGAAGCATGATGGAATGTTTTCCTACATTGATAAGATATACATATTTCAGAGGAATTTCAGAACTGCCAGGATAGATTAGACTAAGAGGTAACACTGTTAAGGAGATAAAATGGGGTTAATGTGCTCTTTTCATTCAAAATGACTGCCAATTAAAACACATTCTGAATCACTTTGTTGGTTAATATCTTCAGACAATTAGGAAGAGAGCGGGCTGCATTTGTCACTTGCCAGTGAATCACATTGGTGGGAAGCCATTGGCACATTCTCACACATCATCATTCAACCGGAAATGATTGCAACATTCAACTGTAAATGCTGCCAGGATTTTCATCTCCACCATTCCAATAGTTTGAGGCAATTTGATTGAGGTTTCTCAGAATTTCAAAAGGAATGACTAGGATTAGATGGAAAGTAACAACTTGCCCTATTGCAAAAGTTTAGAAGTGGACAAAATCTTCATATCAGGGCCAGCTCAATCAGGAGAGCAGTTGGGAAACACTTCATATAAAGGGTGAGAGAAAGTATGGAGCCCTCCTACAGTAGATGTTCATTCAATTAATAATTTTGTTGCAAAACAAGTTTTCGAAGGGATATTTAACTAAGGCAGGTGGGTGGAATAGAGTGTAGACAGAGATTAGATTAACC